GGCCTCCAGAGCGGACATGGAACCGACCAGGCTGTCCTCGTGTGCTTGAGCTTCAGGAGAAGACTGTGAAGAGCTCCTCCTGTCTCTCAGAGCCTTTGGGGGAAAGTAGCACAATGAGCATGTGCACAAACGAGCAAAGAAGAAAATGCCATCGTAGGAAAGGAAACGTAGTGATCGTCGCCTTAGCGGAGGACAGTATTTACGCAGCCATAACAACATAAATGCTGGCCAGTGAGTTCACCCAAAGTGGTGACAAAATCCGAGCAGAGGGAGGGACCAGAGCTTCATCTACATTTGTAGGAAGCCTTCCGGCACCGCTGCCTAAAGCAGGTAAATCAGAGAGTGGCGGTTTACAATCTCAGGGGCTGTGGTTCTCCACTGGGGGCAGTTTTACCCCCAAAGCGACGTTTGCGGTGGTCACAGCAGAGCGGGAGCGTTAACTGATGTCCGCTGGGTCATGAGTTTCCCGCGGCCACTGTTGAAAAATGACCGCAAACTTATCGGCTGCAAACAACACAGATTGACTACCTTGCAGTCGGAATTCCCAAGTTCGGAAGCAGTCTCACTGGGGTAAAATCAAGGTGCAGATGGGGTGCACACCTCCCAGTGAGAATGCATCCCATCCTCTCCGGCTTTAGAGGCCCCCCTCCTCCGTCTGCCGGGTGCATCCTGCCAGCTTCTCCCTTGTCACACACACACACACACACACACACACACACACACACACACACACACCCGTGCTCCGAAGCCACCTCCACACTTACCCAGGTGATGGCCTGGTTCAGGACCATCTGCTTCTGTTAAGGTCTGCTGATGAGCACCCCTGGCTCTTTAATCTGCAACTTCAGTCCCCTGCTTTACTGCGTCTAATAGGTGGGCACAGGTTCCAGGATATCTGGGGCACGTACGTCTTGGGGAGGGACTGTTATTCTGCCTGTACGGTGGGAGTGACGCCCAGATATTGTGCTGGCTGGTCCCTCTGCGCAGGACAGCCCCCACGTGTCGTGGGCGTGGTGCTGAGGGTGCTTGTCACCCTGATGAGGTGATAAGTTATGCTGAGGGCTTCTGGCTGGGGGGCTTGCAGAGAGAGCTCCCCGGGAGTGGAAGTCCTCGATTTCTTGTTCTGGGCTGTGAGTAGGTACGTGCGCGCGCACGTGGCGGAAGCACTTGTGAAGACAGGAAGTGCGTGCTTTACTCAAAGTACATCGTGGCTTCTTAGAAAGCCACTGCTGGGATAGCAGTTGAGCTTGTGATTTTTAAATAAGGAGTAAGTACCAGCAGAAAGAGCTGAAGGGGTTGGGAGCTGTTGCCTCTGGAGAGCAGGACTGGGATGTGAAAGCGTGAGTGAGGGACAGTTTTAAGTTCTTCCTTATACTAGCATTCTGTTTATAATGCAAATTACCTTGATAGAAATAAATACTTTTTTAAAAACAAAACAGGGGCGCCTGGGTGGCTCAGTGGGTTAAGCCTCTGCCTTCGGCTCGGGTCATGATCCCAGGGTCCTGGGATCGAGCCCCACGTCGTCGGGCTCTCTGCTCTGCGGGGAGCCTGCTTCCTCCTCTCTCTCTGCCTGCCTCTCTGCCTACTTGTGATTTCTCTCTCTCTGTCAAATAAATAAAATCTTAAAAAAAGAAAAGAAAAGAAAAAAAAAACAGATTTGCTCAATCGCGGTGTCCTTAGGACGGCGTCGTTGTTGGGGCCGGGGCTCGTGCGCGGTGTCGGGGCTGCGAGTGGCCTGGCCTACAGGAGGCTTGGTGCCGTTGGGGAAAGAGAGGGCGCAGGCACTCCGAAGTCATGCTCCCCTGGTTTCTAGGAGGGTGTTGAGTGGCTGAAGGGAGAGGTGAGGCCCAGGAAGGGGAGTCAGCCCTCGTGGGCCCGTCACCTCCTCCCTTCCTCCCAGAGTGACCCCTGCAGCGGGGGGGAGGGCTCAGGGCTGGGCAGGGCACAGAGCCCTTCGTCCCCTATACCCCACATTGGGAGTTCCCAGGACTGTGGTGTGCTTTGCTGCCCCAGCCTGGCCCTGGGCTCTCCCCACATGCCTTCTGCACACTGTCGCCCAGCAGGAGCCCCGCTCCATCTCAGCAGGGGCCCTCATCATCTCATGGGCTTCACAGCCATAAGCAAGCAGGATGGGTGTTTAAACTTCCGATACGGAGCATAGCGTCCTGCAGGCTACTCTCTGTGACGCTGTGTTTGGAAATGGATCCATGCTGGTACCTGTCGTTCTGCTTCCTGTCCCAGCAGCCCCAGACCCCATACCACCTCGCTGCAAGTGATCCTGCTGGGCCCCCGCCAGGGGGCGCCCGGACCCTCCCCTGATGAACTGGGGTGGGGTGGGGGCTCCAGGCAGCCCCCCCCCCCCCGCCCCCACCCAGTACTCTTAGCAGGGAGGATATGCAGCGTCAGGGGACCCCAGAGGCCCGCATCGTGCCGTGCTGCCCGCCCACTGCACACTCCAGGCGGCTCTCCAGGCCAAGGGCCCCCCCCCGGAGGGAGGCTGCTTTCCACACAGCTCCGGGTCCCTGTGGTCCGCCAGGCGCCCTCCAGGTGCACCCACAGCTGCCTCTCACCCCCTACGCGACCAGTCCCTGTGCCAGTCACCTCTCCATCAAAGCGTTTTTACCAACAGCTCAGGAGGCCGGGAAGCCTCCGACAGAAACAGCAGGAGATGGTGGCCCATCCATTTTGGGGGCAGCTACTGTGTGCCAGGCCTGGCACTGAGACCCGCACCTGGATTCATGCTCACAGTAAGCTGAGGAGGGGCTCTCACCACCCCAGTCTGCAGGCGAAGAAACTGAGACAGGAGAGGTTGAGGTGCACGCCTCCCCCCCCCCCCCCCGCCCCCGGCCCCCCCCCCCCCCCCCCCCCCCCGCCCCGTTCCCACTACCGAGCACAGGGCGCAGGGCCTGGTTCACTTCTCCCCTGTTCCGCAGGGCCTTTGCAGGGAGGGCCGCATTGCTTCTGAGTGCCCCCAGAGCTCCCCACAACCAAGTTGGGTACCTCCTGCCTTAGAGGTGCACCCTCTGTCCTCCCAGCGCCTCTGGCCCCTTGACATGGAGGAAAGGCTGTTCCCTTCACTTCCAGAATCTCGCCTTCCCTTTCGCTGAGGAGACCGGCAGAGAGCAAGGGGCAGTTTCCATGGAGAACTGCAGTTCTGGTCCCCACAGCGGTGCTGTCGGGCTGGGGGGCTCTAGGTCAGACCCCACTTGTCCCACTTCTTACCCAACAGGTGATCTGAGCAAGTTCATTTTCCTTGTGCCTTACCATTGATAAAGGAGGTCGGTACTGGTCCATTTTGGGGTACCTGGCTGGCCTGCGACCCTTGATCTCAGAGTTCTGAGTTCAAGAGTTCTGAGTTCACCCACATTGGGTGTAGCAATTACTTTAAAAGATAAAATCTTTTAAATTTTTTAGAAGATTTTATTTGAGAGAGAGGGAGTGAGTGAGAGAGAGAACACACACAAGCTGGGGAAGAGGCAGAGGGAGGGAGAAGCAACCCCGACGGGGCTCCATCCCAGGACCCTGGGATCATGACCTGAGCCGAAGGCAGACACTTAATGACTGAGTCTGCCATGTGCCCCCCAAAATAAAATCTTTAAAAAAAAATCATCCCACCTCATGGTATTGTTTGGAGATCAAAATAAGACATTTCAGGGTTACCTGGGTGGCTCAGTTGGTTAAGTGTCTGCCTTTGGCTCAGGTCATGATCCCAGGGTCCTGGGGTCAGGTCCCGTGTCAGGCTCCTTGCTCGGCAGGGAGTTTGCTTCTCCCTCTGCCTCCTCTGCTTGCCCTCCCCCTGCTTGTGTCCTCCCCCCACCCCACACCTCTTTCACTCTCTGACGATAAAGTGTTAATTTTTTTTTTTTTTTTCTCCAGGATCCCTGGCATCTGGGACCTAGGAAATGTTCCATGAGTGGTGTGCTTGCTGGGGGTGGGCTGAAGTCAGATTATTTCGGGGCCTGCATCCCTCCTGGGCTGGGCTCAGGCAAGAATGGGCCGGGCTCTGCCCTCTGGAGAGTTTGTTAGACACATGCATGCACAGCGGAATACTCCAGGGGACCATTCAGATCAGGGCCAAGCAGACAGGATCCTGAGGGATGAGTACAAGGGTGGGAAGGAAAGTTCCGGGCGCAGAAACACAGAGGCAGGCAGCATCACAGGTTGTTGGGTAAGGCAGAAAGATGAAAACTGGCCATCTGAGACAGTGGTCTTGGGGGAGGGGGTAACACAACCAGAGAGAAGGCTGGAGGTCCACAGGGCCTTCTCCTGCCCAGGCCAGGGCAGGGCTAAGAGGAGGGGTTTACTTTTTATTCTGGAAGCCGTGGGGGAAGCACTAACCATCTCAGGGAGGGCCCATGTGGCCAAGCTTGTGGCTGCAAGCATCCAGCTGCAGCTGGGAGGTAGGCTGGAGGGGACTCACCAGCGCGGGTGGGAGAGAATGGGGAGAGGTGGGGGGACAAGAGACAGCCCTCAGGAGAGGAGATGCACAGAGGGTTCTTGAATGATGCGGAGAACGCCCACCAGTGAGCGCTTCTGGCCCCACTAGGGTTCTTCTAGCCCCCCCAGTCTTTCGTCTTCTGGTGCCCACCTGCAAGAGTTCTGGCTCAGGAGGCATCCCTTTGCGCACGTCCACCCCCCCACCCCCGTCCCGGTGTCCTGACAGCAGGGGCGTCCCCAGCGGAGCATCACTTAGAGTTCTAGCTGAGGGCCCACCCCTGGGAGAAGGTACTCTGACAACCCACGCCCCTGTCCCAACAGCCTGGGCCGCTCTTCCCTCTCCAGCCCTCCTCCTGCCTTTCGGGAGCGCAGCGAGTACCGCGGGGGCGAGCGGGGCGGGGCCGGCGAGCAGTTATAGCGGGGTCCGCCGCGCTGCGGCCCCCCGACGCTCCCCCGGCTCCCCGACGCCGAGGTCCCGCAGTGCGCCCGGACCCAGCCGAGTCAGCTGCAGGCCTGCCCCGCTGGGCGGCCGTCAACCAAGCGCCCTGGCGCGGGGCCCGGCAATGCGGGGCCCTGCGGTGCGCGCGTTGCTGTTGCTCCTGCTGCTCCTGTCGCCCCCCGCTGGCGCCTGGTACAAGCACGTGGCGAATCCCCGCTACCACACAGTGGGCCGCGCCGCGGGCTTGCTCATGGGGCTGCGCCGCTCGCCCTCCCTGTGGCGCCGAGCGCTCCGCCCTGCGGCCGGGTCCCTTGCCTGGGACACCCAAGGCCTGGGCGTGTCCCCCCAAGGGCTCTTTGCCAAAGACACCCTCTCCCCGGAGCCCATCCCCCGCGGTGCTCTCCTGCTCTCCTCGGGGGTTCGGGAACTGTTGGAGACGGGAAGCGGGAACCCCCGCGCAGGTCTCGGGGTCAGTGCGCCTTGGAGCCAGCGCGCCGCTGAGCCCCGGCCGGAACTGGAGCCCCGGCTGGGGGCCTCTTCCTGGACCCCGGTGAAGCAGGCCAGGTACGTGGGGAGAGAAAGGGGGCCGGGACCGCAGCGGGTGGAGGATGTCTGGGGAGATCTGCGTACCCACGAGAAACCCCACGATCTTCTTATCTCCCACTTTTTGCCCAGAAAGGCTTTCCTGGAGCCTCCTACCCTTCCCACCTGGGAACGGTAGTTGGGGGGAGGGTTAGTGGAGGGTGCACGGCCTTCTCCCTAAGGTCCTGCTTTGTTCTTTCTAGAGCTTTTGGCATGTCTCCTGTTCAGCCATGGTCTGCGCAGTGAACCACCTTTGCTGGTCCCCACTTCTCCCCAGGGCCATCCTGAGTGCACCCCTTGCTGGTGACGCCCCTCGTCTGACCCAGAGGGAGTCTACTCGTCTGCCTGGGCACACAGCTCAGGCCAGGCCAGGAGGTCTGGCCAATAAAAGCTGCCTGGTTCATGCGTTCCCGCGTGTGATGCCTTTCCTCTGTGATGTGTTCTTGGCATCTCGCTTCAGGGTGCAAATAGCTTCGTTCACGCCCTGGCAAATATCAGGAGCCCTGTCCCTGGCCTGGGGGGTGCCCTCTCCTAACCAGATCGATCTGTAAGTGCTTGGGGGATGGGCGAAGAGGGGACAGAGGCAGAGACTGGTTCCCTTCCCTCTCTGCCACTGCATCTCCTGTTCCAGGATGGGGTCATCAGACCAGGTCCGAGGGTCCCACAGGAGAGGAGAGGTCGCAGGGTAGGTAGGTGCAAGGCAGACCCTGGGTCCCACTGCCATCCACCAGAAAGAGGGAAACCGGACTCACACCCTAGAGTCAGAGCCCCCAATGCCAGCCTCCCGGGAGCCCCAGAGTGCCCCCTCACTATGCCCTCTGGCCAGGCTGGGGAGGAGTATGTCTTCCTTAAGGGACCTTACGACCAAGCAGCCCACCCAGCCCTTCCCCCATCTCCCAGGATTCATTTTAAACCCGACCACTTTTGCCCCCCTCCTTCCCCTCATCCAGTGGCTTCTGGAGAGCAAGTGCAAACCCCCAGCCCCTCCTTCAAGACCCCGCTCTCCTCTTAGGGAGGAAGGACCCCTGCCCCCTCAGAGACCCTTCCACTCTTATCGCCTCTGCATTTTCAGTTATCGGCTCCAACCCCCATATAGTTATGCTCTGCCATCGGGAATAAGGGCCTCCCTCCACCTGGGCCCCTTTACAGCTCCCGCTCACAAGTGTCTGGGCCTCTCCCTGCTTCTGCTTCCTCGTCATCCCTCTTCTGCGTGGGCTCTGACTCTCACAACTGTCCAGGGCCTCCAACACCCAGTCACCGTACCCTGATGCTGTCTGCCCTTGGGCCCTCCCTTGGCCATATGGCAAGGCCTTCCACTAGGACAGCCAGCCAGGAGCAGAGGAGGGTGGTCCCATACCCCTTGAGCTGATTAACTTCGAGATACTCACATGGAACCAGCCCCCACGTTCTCCTTGGACTCTTGGAAGCCCCCATTTCTCCTTATTGGCAATTCCCGCTCATTTCCTGGGTACATCCTTTTCCCCATGTTGTCTCCTAATGTGGGTGCTTTTTTCTCGGCCCTCCCAGTTCTTACTGACCAAGCCCTGACTGTACAGACTCTGATTCCAGGATCAGCCCTGATGGAAGGGATGGCCACAGACTCCTCAGGTCAACCCATTCTCTGCACTCCAAGTCCATTCCTGCTCCTGCGTCTCGCCAAACTCGGCCTTTCAAAGCATGGGCGTCCTGATCTGATCTCCCTTCCAGGGCACAGCACCTCACTCTCCACCACCGACGGCGCAAAATCCACGTTCTGGGGCTGGGCCACACAGCTGCCCTGTCCCCTGGTCCTGTTGCTCCTTCCTGTTCCCCACACAGACTGCAGGTACTCCGCGCCGGGACCAAGTGGTCTGCATATGTTTGGTCACAAGCGCTGGACACTTGGTGAGGCTCTAGATTTCCCTTGCCTGGAGGTACCCCGGTCCAGAGGGGTGGACACCAGGTCCAAGGCGAAAAAGCAGTGTTGATCTGGGACTTGACAGAGGCCCGGCTTCTCTGCCTACCGCTTTCCTGGCACCGCTGTGCCGCTGCAGTGCAAGCAGCCCCAAGGCGCCGGCCTCACTCGCAATCTCCACCCAGCAGGGCAAGGCTGGACCGAGTCGGAGACGGAGCGGGTGCGGGGGGACCCGGGCCAGCCCATTGGGCGAAGCAATCCCACCGAGAGCTGGCAGGCGGCGCTGCGCGGCTGCGCCTCCGGAAGGCAGCCCCAGGCGGCGCCTGCGGCGGTGGGAGAGGCCAGAAGCAAGGCGTGGGCGGGCCCAGAGCGAGTGGGCGGGTTCCTGCGCCGCCTCACTCCGGTGGTCCGCGCGGTTCTCCCGGTTTCTCTCCCTTTCGGCTCCGGGTGTCGTGTTCTCTCTCTTTCCGTTGCGCTGGTCCCGGCTGCTGCAGTTTCGGGCTCTGAAGAGAGGCCTGGCGTAGTCTGAAGGGGGGAGGCCGTAAGCGAGGCCCCGTCATCCCGTGGGGCCGTTAATGCCCAGTAGGAAGGCGGCGCCGGCCCGGGAAGCTCCGGGGCATTACCCGGGCGTCAGAGTAATGGCTCCACCCTGCAGACGCGCCCCCAAACCTTCCCTGGCCGGCGACCAGGCCTCTACCCACGGCCACGCCCCGGAATCCCCGCCCAGGCCCAAGCTCCGCCCATCGCTGCGGGGCGTCGCACCTGGCAGCTAGGTTCAAAGCTCAGAGGAAGGCCCCTTCCCGGCCCCGGGAGCCCTGGCCGGCCCCCACCCCAGGGGGCCCCACTGACAGCCCAGGAGAGGGAAGCCCCGAGAGGTCTGCCTCCCGTCTGTCGCAAGGCCTGTGTAGCAAGGTGGCAGCGAGGGCGTCGGGGTAGGGGTGGGAATCACCTCCCACCGGCCTCCCCGCCTGCCCCGGGCCTCGCGGATCACCACCCCTGGCCCGGTCCCGGGCGACCCAAACGCCTTACAGCCTCTGCCCGCCGCTCTCCTGGGTCTTTGTCCCTGCTGTTCTTTTGGCCCGGTTCTCTGCCTCCCACTTCTGTCTCACACGGAGGCCCGCGGCTGGAGGAAGGGCATGGGAGAGTTTGCCCGGAGAGCCGCTGGGTTCGCCTTCCCTGCATTTGTTCGTTGGGCCCCCATCCTTACGTGTTCCCCTCACCCATTCCTGCTACCCCTGCGGAATCTACCTGCCCTTCTCCCTGCCGCCTTTATCCTGCGGCTGTTACCCACACCCCCTTGTTACTCTCTGCTGTTGCCTTTGTTACTCTGTTACCTTCCTGGTCCTTCCCAGCTCCTTTTCTGCTTTGGAGCCTCCTTTGTTACGCTGCGATGCAATGTTCTGGCCCCTGGCTGGGACCACATGTCCCTGGTTACTCCTCCCTCATCTTCACAGACTGGTTGAGGCTGATCCTGGGAGTTTCTGTGCTGTGGCGGGGGGAGGAGATCTCCAAGGGAGGTCCTCCCGGGAGGACCAGGCGCTCCTATTTCTCTACCCCCAGCCTGGGGGCTCCCATCCAGCTACCTCCCTAGACTCTGGCGTGGCCCCATACCACAAGCTGGCAGGTCCTGGTTGTTGGGGGTGACCCCTAAACCCCATCCGGGCTGGTATGTGGTAGACCGCACCCGTGTCACAGCCTTCAGGAGCAGCAGCACCAGGCTGGGTCCAGAGAGGCAGTCATAGACTGGACAAGCAAGCTCTGGACAGGCAAGCAGACAGATGGAGGTGGCCAGCTCAGCGGGAGCCTATGGCAGCATTAGCCAGGAACTTAGAGGTGGGGGTGGGGAAGCAGCCGTGCAGTCTTGGCCTAAGTGGCTTTTAGGGGCAGCAGCCGGGTGTGGACACCCAAGGGGCTGGGGCCCAGGAGGCTGCCCAGAGGAGAGCCCTGTGCTTGGGCAGGGCCTGGGCGCCCAGGCTAAAGGCACTGGAGAGGGAAGGAGCAGCAAGGACGGGGCCCGAGCGGAGCCTGCTTCTGCCCCCATGGGGAACTGTCTGGGCTGGTTATACCTGACCCCCGGGGACCAGGTATGTGCAGGGGTCTGGGCAGGCTGGGGAGGGGCAGGCTGAGGGGGAACTCAGCTGTCTTCCTGTATCTGAGGCTGAGAAAGAGCTCCATGATAAAGGGTGGACTTGGACTCTCACAGCAGTGCCTAAGAGGAGCTGGGGAACCTTGCCTAGGTCCCATTCCTCTCTAGAACTGTTTCTTGATCTGCAAAATGGCCTGAGCGCCCTTGGGTTTTTCCAGGTAAAGTGTACTCAGAGGCACGACAAAGCATAACCAATTTTCTGTTGTCATTCTTGTCTGGTTGGGGGAAGGGACACTCATGCTGGGGATAGGAGCTAAATGCTAGGGGAGAAGGATGGAGGGAAGGGTGGGCTGGGGCCAGGGGCTAGTTCATGGGAACAGCTTCTCTGAGCACTGATCACAAGCCAGAGGTCAGAGGCCAAAGTCCTGGATACATGTCATCTCTCCCTGGGATGAGCAGGGGCACAAGTGAGGGTACCTGGCAGAGACAGTTGTGTGTTGGGGGATGGGTAACGTTTAACAGACATCCCCAGCACAGATAAGCAAAAACGATATCCTGGGCAGGGCCAGAGCCACCTGGTCACTGGCCTCCAGAATATAGGGGCGGGCTGCTGCCTTGTTATTTCCAAACTCCTTTTTGCCTCCTGGACCATCTTGGGACTCCGCTGGGCTAGGGCAGCTCTGGGTGCAGGACAGATCCCCAGACAGAGACAGCGAGGGTTGGGGGGGGGCAAGGGAGGGTGTGTTCCCGAGGATGGTGGACAGAGCTGTGGCCGTTGTTCTTACCCTCCGCCCCCGTGTGGATTTGTTCGGCCTGAGGACCCCTTCTCCACTCCTCTCCCACCTCAAGAGCCCGCTTCCGTGTCACGAATGCATACAGTAGGTGCTCAATAAATGTTCTTGGACTAGGAGGCAAAGGCGCTGGCGCCAGGGAGGCTGCCCAGACTCCGGGCGAGACAGAGGGGGTCCCAAAGCCCTGCGGACTCCTCCGCCCCCGGGATTGGCAGGATGCCGAGGCCGGCCGCAGCTAGGACCGGCCGGGACTCGGGGCGGGGGCGGCCCCACCGAGGAGGCGGGGAAGGGGCGGGGGCGGGGGCGGCGCCGCAGCCGGAGCCCGAGCCCGAGCCCGAGCCCGAGGCGACGGGAGCCGAGCGGGAGCAGCCGAGGGCGCCGCCGGGTCCCCAGCGCCGCTGCCGCCGCCTCCGCGCCCGCCCCCCGCGCCCCTGCCTGCCCGCGGCAGGCGTCAGCGCCGTGGCCGCCCGGTGGT